AGCTAGCTGTCTAGGTGCTATTTGCATATACAAAGCTAGCTGTCTAGGTGCTATTTGCATATACAAAGCTAGCTGTCTAGGTGCTATTTGCATATACAAAGCTAGCTGTCTAGGTGCTGTTTGCATATACAAAGTTAGCTGTCTAGGTGCTGTTTGCATATACAAAGCTAGCTGTCTAGGTGCTGTTTGCATATACAAAGCTAGCTGTCTAGGTGCTGTTTGCATATGCATAGCTAGCTGTCTAGGTGCTGTTTGCATATACATAGCTAGCTGTCTAGGTGCTGTTTGCATATACATAGCTAGCCGTCTAGGTACTGTTTGCATATACATAGCTAGCTGTCTAGGTACTGTTTGCATATACATAGCTAGCTGTCTAGGTACTGTTTGCATATACATAGCTAGCTGTCTAGGTACTGTTTGCATATACATAGCTAGCTGTCTAGGTACTGTTTGCATATGCATAGCTAGCTGTCTAGGTGCTGTTTGCATATGCATAGCTAGCTGTCTAGGTGCTGTTTGCATATACAAAGCTAGCTGTCTAGGTGCTGTTTACATATAAAATGCGAGCTGTCTAGGTACTGTTTGCATATAAAAAACTAGCTGTCTAGGTACTGTTTGCATATGCATAGCTAGCTGTCTAGGTGCTGTTTACATATAAAAAGCGAGCTGTCTAGGTGCTGTTTACATATAAAAAGCGAGCTGTCTAGGTGCTGTTTGCATATGCATAGCTAGCTGTCTAGGTGCTGTTTACATATAAAATGCGAGCTGTCTAGGTGCTGTTTGCATATGCATAGCTAGCTGTCTAGGTGCTGTTTACATATAAAATGCGAGCTGTCTAGGTACTGTTTGCATATAAAAAACTAGCTGTCTAGGTACTGTTTGCATATACATAGCTAGCTGTCTAGGTGCTGTTTACATATAAAAAGCTAGCTGTCTAGGTGCTGTTTACATATAAAAAGCGAGCTGTCTAGGTGCTGTTTGCATATGCATGGTCACCTTTTTACCCCCATGTACATTATTCATTTGCACTTTCCGAATTTGCTTTGGTGTTGTTTTATAACTTTCCTGGTTACTGTACTGAGTAATACTAATTAAAAGGTCTGAAAATTTGTATATTCTAAACAAGTTTAGGCATACCTACCTGTGAGTGAGTGTAATTGGGTCTAGCCTATGTGCAAACATGCAAGATAAGCTTGAAGCTTAGCCCATACTTTGTGTAGCCTGAACACAACTACGGTATGAATAAGTCAACTCCAGATTGAATAGGGAGAAGAGAGAATTTATTAGTCCCCGTTCGGACGAAGTCCGAAAACGGGGACTTATAATTCGGTCTCCGTGCGTCTGTGCGTCCGTCCGGAGTCATATCTCAGAATCCCTTGGACCGATTCTGTTCATTCTTTGCATGTGCCTAGTACTTTATGTGGGACATATGCACATGCAGTGGTTTAGCGATTCGATTCAAAATGGCCGACTGGCAGCCATCTTGTTTTTTGAAAATGTTGTATTTTGGACATGCTTTGTCAGTTTTCATTCAAACTTGGTACATAGATTATACATGTTACGATACATGTCCATGATGATTTATTTCACAATTGGATCACAGATGGCCGACTGGCAGCCATCTTGTTTTTTGAAAATGTTGTATTTTGGACATGCTTTGTCAGTTTTCATTCAAATTTAGTACATAGATCATACATGTTAGGATACATGTCCCCGACCGTCCGTGAGTTCCTGAGTTTGTGTGTCCGTCTGTCCGTGTGTCAGTCTATCCAACGTCATATTTCAGAATCCTGTGGACGATTCCGTTCATTCTTTGCATGTGCCTAGTACCTTATGTGGGACATATGCACATGCAGTGGTTTAGCGATTCAATTCAAAATGGCCGACTGGCAGCCATTTTGTTTTTTGAAAATGTTGTATTTCAAAGATGGCTGAATAACGACTGTTTTTATTTTGGCCATATTACTATGACACGAAACATGTGTTTTGATGTAAATAAACAATCTGTTGTATACGCCACTTGGAACTCAAGTTTCAAGGACATGCTCGCGACAACCCCTCCACTTTAATATGACGAGCACAAAGAGAACTTAACGGGGACTGTGTCATTTTCAATGACTTGTTTCCCAAAATTAAAATTGAATTCAGTGAAAATTAACAAAAATTTGAGCAAATTTACCTCAATTCATGCAGAGTAAATAAATTTGACACTCAAAGCATTAAATTCAATTTATATACCGGTATATCGTAACAGTATAACCCTAAGCAAACAATATGTTTAGCTCAACATACAATTTACAAGTTGCCATCATTTCCTGGATAGGTAACATGTATGTTAACACCTACAATTTTATCTGAATTGAATCCACCTTGAGTAAAATGCTGATTAAAGAAATCAAATAAAGTTATTCTCACCATCAACAGCAAGTGTTCCATGACATGCAGAACAAGTCTGTTCATCTAAAAGAAGAAAATAAACAAAAATTCCCAACACAAACTGTACACTATCTCAATATTTCAAAATTCATTCAATTGATTACGATAGTTTTAACATAGTACATAAGACTGTAACCTTTCACTGCTACTGGTAATATTTTCACAGATTAAACCGGTATAAACTGGTTTTTAGCTGTCAGCAAATATTGAACACATACCGTCTACTCTGATGCCTTTCTTCTGTATTTTGTTCAATTTTTCCATCAATGAAAAACAGTCAGATACCAAAATTTTCTTGCAGCCTTCTCTCAATGAAATCTAAGAAAAGAGAAACTACATTTAAATATGGGATAACCAAAAGTAAATTAATTCAACTGAACTAAATAAATAATTTTTCTATAATTTCTTTGTAAATTTTGTACAAAAAGAAAATAATTTCCCATAGGCTACAGGTCTTGATCAATTTGCATGTGCATTTGCATGTGAAAGTCCTCTTAATACCTTGAACAAACTTGTAAGTGCACCCTTTGCAATAAAAACCTGATTAGCAATTCATTTCACATTTTTCACTGACATGTTATTTGTAATGAGGAACCTTTGACATTGATAGACACCTAGTACAACACACTCACATACCCCCCCCCTCTCTCTCTCTCTTTCTGTCACACAGGCACACCCACTCTCCAGGGAGAATGCTACAAAAGTAACGACAGAAAATAAACAAACCTGTAAATTGTAATCTTGTAGTATTTTCACAAGTGAATCTCTCAGTCCTGGTATTTCCATACCTTCACGTATTCTCTGTTAGAAAATATAGCAAGTATCACTACATAGAAATAAGTACAAGTATTGTATTTGTTTTATTACAAGAGAAACGCATATGAACTGACAGTTGCATGTATTGTATAATAGATCATCAAAATATGACTTGTTCTGACCATGCACACACTGCTGCCATTTATGCAAGCATAGACACTACTAATAGAGAAAATATGGTAATCCTAGACTATGCGATATGGCAGTGTTTAAAAAAAGTGTTGCTTTTTTTTGTTAATATTTAATGGACAGATTTCCAGTTTACAGTACATGATTACAAAATACTTGGGGGAAAAATTACTCATTACAGAATGGTAGACTCATGCTACACAGTGTTCTCCTCTGTAAAGTAGCACACAGACTAATTTACATAACTATAAAATATTAGTATGAACAAATTTACATAACAATATAGTATTCATTGTTATGCTGAATTGGCTCTATGGTTTATTCAAAATAATGAGTTCACTCTATAATGCCCTGGGGAGAACCCTGCTACAGGAAATCATGTGACAGGACGAGTCATGTGACATTATCTATGTAAACACTTACTCTAATCAGAATAATCGGATCGACGTGAGTTCCAATATTTCGTAGTAAACCAGTAATAAACTCTGAAAAACACATATACGATAAACAAAAGTAAGTTTCATAACTATGACAATTGTTAATTTCTGATACTAGTGATAATTCATAGAAAAAAAAAATACATATGATAATGACACCTTGATATTTCTGAATCTAAATCTAAATATAGGTTCACAGTATGGCAATACAGCCATGTGAGTTAGGGTTAGGGGTTTCTCAAATATATAAACTGAAACATCACCACATGATTATGTGTGAGGTCAACCATACTCAATCAGCATGTAATATTGAGAGTAAGTTTTGCAGATAATACAAACGTGGTTTGTCCATGGAATACGTTATCAAGTCTTCCCACAATTCTTCATCGTCATGCTCTTTGGCGAAATCAATGGCTTGGTCAACATCATCAAGTTCCTCTGTTATTAACTGTAAAGCTTGCTTTGTATTTCCCATTCGACCTACAATCAAATTATACACAATTGTATATATCAATTTGTAGTATATTTACTATATTTTGCATCCTAGCTCTTACAATAAACATGATTTCATCACATATCATACCAGTTACATACCTTTACCTTTCAACCTTTCAACCACCAGTTCCCTTATTTCATCACAAAATAGTCCTGTTTATAGTCCGCACTTTTCTTTAGAAGATTGGGACAAAAATAGCTGAATTTTTTGAGTAAAAACTGAAAGTCTCAAATTTTGTCTGTTGGCTCCAATATTAGAGTTCATTTCCAGAAATATTGAAGAATATAAGAAAAAAGTGCAGAAAAGTTTGGGTGAGAAAGTCTGGTGGTGAAAAGGTTGATATTTGCCACGATATATACAATGACAACTTCAACCTTCAATATCACTCAAACATCCAAACTTATCCGATTAAAAACATGATTTTTGTACTCACTCCATTTATATTTTATTTATTCCTACACTTAATTTACAACAATTTGTTCACTATTTAGCTCACCTAACAAGAAAACCATCTCAGGTATGTATTGTCGCTGTTCACATATCTCCAAAGCTTTCTGTAGCGGATAATAATTACTGTTGCGTAGAAATGGTTTAAGTTTTGGTCTATTGAATTCTGCATACAACTTTACTTGTAAAGCATGGTGGTCCTGTCCTATGTGGGGATCCTTTTGAAATAATGCATCTAAATACTGGAGAACACAATAGAGGTTTATATTAATAGGGCTTGGCATTCATAACATGCAATGGACGCAGCTATACAGTGGGGTCACTGGCTGCAAATGATGTAATGGGGAGGTGTCACTCTCCGGAAAGAGAGGGAGCAGTATTTTTGAATGTGCAAGAGTTGTAGATGACACACCCAGTGGAGCTTACATGTACAAAATAAGAACAATTTTTAAAACACTACTGTAACAATGAAAATAAAATAAAAGGAGTCTTATTGACTTTGTGACCCTTACTTTGTCGGCCATTTTGAATTTAAAATTGGTCAGAATACATATAAATCAGGTTTAAATTATTGAACAAACAATTTCAGTTTCTTCAGACTTATAAAAAGTCAATTTCAAGAATTATTTTGACAAAATTTCAGGAAATTCCTGTGACAAGTGTGTTAGCCGTCTCCATTTTTTCAGGCTGCTATTATCATTTATTATATTGAATGACTTACCATGTACAGCAGCTTATCATTAGGTTTCTTCTCAAGTTGAGTAACAACAGTTTCAATCTAAAAAAAAAAAAATGACAAAAATTACCCACTGTGCATATACCTTATAAACCTTAAAAGCAAATGGCTCCACAAATTCATGCTGAGACCGAGGTCACCACCGAGGTCAAACTACAAGACATGTTTTGCACGTTTGCATAGTGTCTTTCCCGTCATTCCATCCAACCTTCCAAATACTATGGATACGCAGATCATCTTGCAACAAGTTGAAGTTTGAATGTGATTGGTCCAGGAGATGCACAGACACACCATGATTAGTCCTCGTTTTCAGACTAATAACACATTGGTTTTATGAATTACTGACTTTAAATGAAAGACTGAAAATCTATAACATAAAATGTCAGGTCTTGAAATTAACAGTTGTCCAAAGCACATACCGGTACACATTTTTCAATATTAGTCACCCACCTTGACTAGTAAAACAACATGTTTCACACTTTCAGTTCTAAGTAACTTAAAAATCATTTGGACTACCGAATATTACCATGGGACTTTAAAGAAATTTTATTAATTTTTTTAGCCTGCAAATAAATAATTTTAAATTGTGAAGAATACTACATAAACACTTACAGGAACCCTGTCAACATTGTCAATTAACATCCTAGTCGCTTGCTCTGTATCAAATTCCATTAAGATGACAATTTTATCTTGTATTGAATCAAATAAGTTATGTTTATGAATCAAAGTAAATACATCTTTATGTCCAAGCCTGTCAAATAAACAAAAACTATGATTATAATACATACATGGACAAGGTGTTGAATGAACTGAAGCAATACTGACACTATGTATTGAAAATATATTAACACACTGTGCATTAAAGGTACATTGTCACAGTATACATTACAAGTCATTGTTAATGATATATAGTCCCTGTTGGAATTAAGGAAATGTTATTCATGCCAAAATTAAATTATTATGCACCAAAAGCATAATTAGTAATTGAGAGTGAATAATTGGCTGGTCTAGTATCAACAGAAATTAGATGTATTATATGACTATTTCAAAATTGAAATATATGGTCAGAAATGCTATTCCTGCATTTTTGTATCCAAATTTAATTTGTCCAGGCTTGAGATATAGGAGTTTGGTCAAAAAGCAAAATTTTAGGCAGTCAACCATTTTTGATTTGATTGTGAAACTAATTGTGAACATGTATCCCAACATGCATAATTTGAAGAGAAAAAAAAACATGTCAGCAATACATTTTGAAAAAAACAAGATGGCTGCCAGTTGGTCATTTCGGATTCAAACATGAAACGAATCATCATGGACTTGTATCTCAACTTGTATAATGTTTTTATCCAATTTTAACGAAAACCAACAAATCCTGTCCAAAATACCACATTTTCCAAAAAACAAGAAGGATGCCAGTCGGCAATCTTTGATCAGATCATTGAACAAACTGAAGAGAAAGCCTTGGAGATGTAGTAGTATGGTCAGAAAGCAAGATGGCTGCCAGTCAGCTATTGTTGATTTGAATGTAAAACAAATTGTTATGGACATGACATATACAATTTATATAACAAATTTGAATGAAAATGACAAAGCAATGATTGCCAGTCAGCCATCTTCGATCCGATCGCGAAACAAATCGTCATAGACATGTATCCTAACATGTATAATGTATGTACCTAATTTGAACAAAAACTGACAAAGCATGCATAAGATACCACACTTTCAAAAAACAAAATGGCAGCCAGTCAGCCATCTTAGATTGCATCAGTAAACCACAGCATGTGCATATGTCACAGATGAAGTACTAGGCACATGCAAAGAATGAACAGATTTCGTTCAAAGGGTTGTGAAATATGACTCCATACAGACGAACGGACAGAGACTGAATTAATAGGCCCTGTTTTGAACTTAGTTTGAATGGGGACTAAGTGTGCTATTATTAATGTACTGCTCTAAATATGCATGAAAGGAACTCTGTAGTCAGTACACACAGTATATACTAACAGTTCACTACCACAGCCAATCAAATGTGTCCTAGCTGCCAAAACAATAATAAAATGAGTTTTTGTTTAGGTACGTAATATGCAAACCTTTGCAAACATCTCAGCTCTGAAAATGAAATTTACTTGAGATAGATGGCCAATGCTTTATCAAATCTCTGTAAATAAAACTTACTTGAGATAGATGGCCAATGCTTTATCAAATCTCTGTAAATAAAACTTACTTGAGATAGATGGCCAATGCTTTATCAAATCTCTTATCATACGTGTACAGTTCTCCCAATGTTTTTAACAACACAGGATGTTCATAGTCTCTGTCAAGTCGTTCCTGTACAGCATTTACTATAGTCATCAAATCATACAATGTCGGTGACCATTCCTTGATTAACTGATGAAATCCCTGTAAAACATATAATAATTTGTAAAAGATATGAATGTCACAGTCCCCGTTATTTAATTATAAAATACTCATGTTAAAATAATACAACTGAATTTCTGAGAAAATGTTAGAGACGTCACAGACGAAAACAGGGACTAAAAAACCAAAGAAAGTAAATAATACAATGATGTGCAACTGCAACAAACATCAAAAACTATTTTAAATACTAATGTTCTACAAATGTATGGACTTCAGAATAACTACTTTTCTGTCAAGATACATAAAATCAAGTCTTGGAATCCCTTCATAAATAAAGCAGCATTTGTGTAAATGTTATAAATGATGATTACATTTTAAGAGAAGGAAATACAACTAATTTCTAATTTAATCTAATTTTAGAAATTCATTACAATTTAACAAAAAGTCATTTATTACAGCATTTATATGACTCTATGAATAAATTTACATAATATTCCAATTTGTTAGCATCTGTAGAAAACCTATTACAGAATCATAAACTAAAGATATTTTCAGTTCATTAGAAATCTTATCACACAGAATCCTGAAATTGAATTTAGAAGTACTCCTAAAATAGTGTAAAATGAACTTGATTGATTACAACAATGAAAAGTAGGTTTGATTTAATTAGTGATTAAATATCACAATTTTCAGTGCAAGTTAGATGTAGCTATATATTCCAAAATTTCAACTGATTTTATTATTTTCATGGTAATAACAATACTGTAAAATACTTTATTTTAGCTGGAATTAATTTGCACTGAAAAGAGTTTTTGTGTGTTTTGTATCGAGTTTGTTTTCACTCATTTTTAACATGTTGAATGTAAAATACATGGAAACAATTCATATTTGCTGGATTTTATTTTCACTCAATCATCCCTTTAGCAAAAAGTATTTTACAGTGATGAGGTACATATACCGGTAATACAAAATGAAAATGCAAATTTTTATTCATTAACAAATACACACATTAATTTTTGTGGAGCAAAAAACAAATATTTATCTTCCTTCCTGCTCAAGAAAGAATTTGTTTTTTCGGGAACAATAACTTTTTCCCCACTAACGTAATGCATCTACTTTCATTTCCATGTACCAGTGGGATTAGATGGATATAATCGTCACATATTAAAAATACAATAAACAATTATATCAGAACATCAATGAATCTCATAAAATTAGTTTGGATGTTGTTTGTAACAGTAAACTGATATGCTACCTCATAATCTGTTTGTAGATATTCATTTAATATCATTTCATATATAGCTTTACTGAGTCTCATATCACCACGTGGTACATAGGGTGCTATTGATTTCAACTGCTGTATCTTGGCAAACTTGTATACTTCACTTTCCCATAAGTCCTTGTTCTTCCCAAGAATCTTTACACACATCCTAGAAAAGAGTGACACTAAACTGAGTAAATTATAATTTATAAAAATATATTTATCATATTTGCTCTATTAGAAAACTGAAAGTGGTATCTGTATAGACCACAATGATGATGAAATTACAAACTCAATATGTACATATACTAAAAACATGACAGTGATATCAAAATTACAAACCTTGCAGCTTGATCATACTCTTCTTCATCAAGTAAGTGATTCAAATATGTTTTCCCAATCTCCAGTATGTCATGTTTTTTTAGTGATCTACTGTTAGCTTCTGCTATAGCAAGAGCTTCCTGGTTTAACAAACAGCAGCGTAACATTAGAAAATTATATTACAT